ATTAAAGCGAAAAGGATTGTGTGCATAAAGATTCAAATCACAATGTATTTTCAAATGTAGCTATTCAGAACAATTCTCCCTCTGAGATTCTAGGTAGGAAGGTTTTATCGTATTGTCAAAATATATAACATTTAAGTATTTGTCCAAAATATCTCAAACTGCCATTTAATTTAGTTTGCTAATTTGTTTCCTTTTCTTAAAATTTTGTGGTCTAAGTCCTAAAAGTCAAATGGTCACTGAAGAAGTATCAGCAAAAACAAGGATTTTTAGGAAGTTGGTATATATTAAAGATTAACTCCAGTCCTTTTTACCTTCTACTGATTTACATGAAATAAAAGAGCATTCCTCTACATTCTTTCTACTGTGGTTTTCCCCCATCATCTATGAGCAAATTATTGAACCAAAAGACAGGCATCTTCCCGAAGATTGAACATTAATTCTCCAGAATTGGCTAGTCTTCGTCTAGCTAAAGGGAAAGAACCTTCTCAGGATGGCTGGGACTGGCCATGGTCGCTCTGATTATTCCCAGGGTAAGGCCCCCATTTTGAGTGGCTTGGCCCAGGAAGTGATAGGAGTCAAGTTGAGTTTCAAAGCATCATCCAAACTGTCAGCAGGTACCTGACTGGTACCCTGGTACCAGTACCCTGAATGATACTGGTTTCCCCTATTCCTGCTAGCTCTTGTCCATCAGAACAAGGCTAATTCTCCAGCGGCCCCTCCCTGTCCAGGCTATTAATGAAGTATAAAAGGCTTAGCTTCTTCATGTTACTTGAGGAAGCAAAATGGGACAATACAGAAATAAAAGTATTTCTCTAGCCAGGTCCTTCAGCCAATAGTTTTCACTGATCTATCGTACATTTTAAATGAAAATATTTTCACTACTGGAACCCTGAACTTAATCTTTTCTATTATGGGGAGAGGAAGGGAAACCGTATGATCTGCAGCAAAGGTACATCCTGATACACAAGCTAAGAGCTCTTTTATCTTTCTGCATCCAACTGAGTTTGATAATCATGAACAGAAGTTGATATATTCTCTCTAGCTGAACCAGAAGATCTCTAAGGTCTTTTAAAATCACAGTTCTGAGTTCTAGATAAAGTATTGCACAATCTTCAAACTAAAAATTATCCTGAACTCAGTATGATGAAAGAGAGAGAGACAGAGGGAGGAAGGGCGGTCACTGGGCTTGCATACATCTAGAAGAGCTGCCAAGTCTAGTGGGCAGCGCCCCATCCCACAGTGATCTTCCAACAGGGTACAAGCCTTTCATTCCACAATAGAAGACTTCTTTTGGGATACTGAGTTAAAGATAGTTATGAATGTGCAAACAGCTGATATCAGATTCCTTACAGAAAGCTAATTTTTGATAGAGAAATAAAACCGTTTAAAAAAAATGAAAGTCAAAGAGGATTGAATGGGAGGAGCTTCATAATTTTGCTTTTGTTTATGCCATATAATATTTGCTTTCATTCTCTTCATATGTTAATGTTAGGAGGAAGCTAAAAACTCCTACTATAACAAAATATTACTAACTATTGTTAATTGCTATAATTAACCCATAAAATCAACTGAACAGAATTTCAGAGTCAAATTCATATTTCAAATAACAGTTCTCAGCATTAGGTTTCATTGGGGAATTTCCATTTGGCAGTCAAGTCATCTTTTTTCCACAGATTTTTTTTCATACCTTTCTCCATCCTCCACTCCTTTCCCCTGCCTCTGCCTCTGCCCAGGGCAGGCCTCCCAGCTCTTTCCTGGACAGCTACAGGCTCTGCCTGTTGACTCTTTCACCTGCCTCTGCTCTATATATTTAGTGACTTTCAACCATGTGAGAATTAGAAAATTTAAACTTCTTCATGAGGTAAGAACCACATAAATACTTACTATGTAGCATGCAGAATTCAATAGGGAGTGCCAATGTTATAAGACAGAATACCTATTCTGGGCTCAATATTTTCAGGAAACGATTAGATAAGTAATTTTTTTCACCTGTGTGAACTTGATTTTATGCAGAGGGGGAGAAGTAGTGAGAGTATATGTATTGGTAAACTTTTTATTTGGATTGTTATTGTTCTATTATTTTTAGTTTTCATATGAAAATCTTATTTTACGTAAACATTTTTCCTTAATGTTGTTTTAAATGTAGGACGTGTTGGAACACCTCATTTTATGGCACCAGAAGTGGTCAAAAGAGAGCCTTACGGAAAGCCTGTAGACGTCTGGGGGTGCGGTGTGATCCTTTTTATCCTGCTCAGTGGTTGTTTGCCTTTTTACGGAACCAAGGAAAGATTGTTTGAAGGCATTATTAAAGGAAAATATAAGGTAATGCATCATGAACATTTTCTTTTTCCACTGAGATTAATTTATCCTGAAAAATGTTTCTTTGAAGTTACTGTCTGTCTTTGCCCACTGATTGACTGCCAGGTAGTTACCCCATCAGAGAAAAGGTCTTTGCTTACATCATTGATCCAGTGGCCTTGGTAGGCAACATAGGCCTCAGGTAAATTTCTGGGTCACTGTCAGCTGAGCTGTCACCCTGGTGAAGAAAACATTTATGACCCTTCTTTGTCTAATTTGAAAAAGAGGCTACATTTTTAAAGCTTTCTGCTTAATTTGTAAAGTTAAAATAGAATTTCATCCAGGTGTAATTTTAGTCCTTCTTTATCTTAATTTTAAATTTAGGCCAGCACAGCTCAAAACATTTGCCATTTACATTCCAGGATAAACTGAAATGCCAGGATGACAACTGCATTTCATGATACAATATAGAGGTATTTCAGTGTGGCTTAAACATTCCTATTCTTCTTTAGTTACTAGGTGTTGGCAGCCTCATGTACTATCACAGGCTTGTGATTAGTAAATCATTACTTTAGTAAAAAATTGAAAATTCATTACTGACATTATGAATAGCTATATCACAAACACCTAAGGACTTCTTGGAAATAAGTAGGCTTAAGGTTGATTTCACCACCCCAGCTTTTAGACTCCTTTGCCCTGTCCCCAGGGTACAGCTGACAGTGACTAGGAGGCTGGGCATGGGAAGCATGGGGGAGTGTGTGTCTGGATATCAGGTTAAGGCTGTTTAAGTTGGGGAAATTCTTTTTCCTCTCATTATTACTGAAACTCATACTTTCTATTCAACCTCATCACTGTTTCATTTTCAGCCATGACTGACAACATAAAACCAAAAACATGTGTATGTAACACTGGACTCTGGAACTGTGAGGCCCCTAAAGTTTTCTCTTCAATTCCTCAGTAATGTTAGAATTTTATATGGAACTTGGAAGCATAAAATTTAAAAAGAAGAAAAGTAAAGTAGTTCCAGAGTTACAGTCCTGTCCTTTTAAGCCATAACTGAAGTTTATGGAGATGAGAATGGTGTATACTTTTGTTGGTTTATTTACCTCGCTCACCATCAGTTTATGAGTGCATGTAAGTTTGTCTTTTGTTTTAGTTAGTTTAAGATATATACCAAAACTCTGTTAACAGAGAAAGATGTTTTAAGTATAGCATTTTCTGCTCCTCCTAGAGTCAGTTGGCCACTGGGGAATAAAATCATTACTTATCGGGTAACTAAATGTCTCAGGAAACTGCTTGTAAGTAGTCATCCCTCTTCAATCCAGGGAAGTTGTAAGTTGCTCTCAGGAATGCACAGCCAGATTCTGGTTGAATTTAGCCAAGTGAAATCACGGATACTAACATTTTAAAAGAAACATGATTAGTGATACATCAGCATAATAATAATACTACCAATAATGATAGCTAACTCAGGCATAGCACATAGCATAGCATACTTTACATAAGTAAAGTGCTTAGAACAGTTTAATTCATTTAACCCTCACAGCAACTTGTGAGGTAGGTACCATATAATAATCCCCCACCTGTGTTTTTGAGTTATAGGCATTTGCTAATAATAGAATTCTTCCTTTGTGTTTGTTCAGTTGTTAACTTCCTAGTTTCCAAGGCAATGTGCTTCATTCCAACAGACTCTGGTATTTTATTTCGTCTATTTTTAAAACATTGAATAGTTATTTTTGTTTCTTGGTAAAAAGACTTAGACTATTCACACATGTGCAAAAATTAAGTCATTTAAAAATTCCCTCTTCCTAGTATTATAGTAAGTCAGATGGATGGTGGCAGCTATATCATAATTTTTTTTGTACCTGGGGTTTGAAGCTTTGAGGTTAATCATTTATTTAGTATTTTACTTGGCTAACCTCACCTCTCATTTATCTTCAGGACTTTCCTTACAAAAACCCTAGGTTTTCACCACCTTAGTTTGAAGTATAGATCCATCTCTACCATCTATGATGAATCTCGGCCTTTTTCTTTTGGTATACTGTGATATGATTCTGTCAGCATTTATTTTTCTATCTTTTATTATCAAAAATTTCAAACAAAAATAGCAGAGAGAATAGTATAATGAGCTCCCAGCTTCAATAACACAGACAATCTTGTTTTATCTGTATTCTACATATTATTATGTTATTTTAAAGCAGATCTCAGCTGGACTCACTTGAGCTCAGGAGCTCAAGACTGGCCTGGGCAACATAGGGAGACCTGGTCTCTACAAAAAGTACAAAAATTAGCCAAGTGTGGTGGCACACACTTGTAATCTCAGCTACTTGAAAGGCTGGGGGGGCAGGATTACCTAAGCCTGGGAGGTCAAGGCTGCAATGAGCCATGATCACACCACTGTACTTCAGCCTGGGCAGCAGAGCGAGACCCCGTCTTCTCCCCCCCCAAAAAAAATTAGATTTCAAAAAAATTATTTCATCACCCTGGTGGTTCTTTTTTGAGACAGAGTCTTGCTCTGTCGCCCAGGCTGGAGTGCAGTGGCAAGATCTTGGTTCACTGCAACCTCCCCCTCCCAAGTTCAAGTGATTCTCATGCCTCAGCCTCCCGAGTAGCTAGGATTACAGGTGTGTGCGCCACGACGCCTAGCTAATTTTTGTATTTTTAGTAGAGATGGGGGTTTCACCATGTTGGCCAAGCTGGTCTCAAACTCCTGGATCAAGTGATCTGACTGCCTCGGCCTCCTAAAGTGCTGGAATTACAGCTGTGAGCCACCGCGCCCGACCTCATTTCATCACCCTAATGGTTCTGAGCAAAAGAACTATTAACAAAATTATTGATCTCTATGGATATTTTCAAGAAAAGTTTGAAGACACCTTTTAAATGTAGTACTTTTTTTTTTCTTTTTTTACCTCCAGCACTTGCAAATGTGAGACCGTTAAATATAGTACATTTCAATTGTCATAGTTTATAAACTGCTACTGGTCTTAAGTGATTTTAATTTGACTTTTAAATTATCATTTGCTAGGTTATTTGATCTTTTAAAGTAGCTATTAGAAAATACTGTTTAACTGGAATATATGCTAACACTTAACCTCAATTAACTTCTTTATAAAGGGCAAAAATATATTTCCCAAACTATATATAAAAGGTGTAATGTCATATCATTATTACAGGTAACCAGTTAGTATATACACAGCAAGATTCTAAGCTGCTATGGGTTAGGTATTCAAATAAGTAAGATTGTTTTATAGCTTATTTTGTTCCCCCTTATAGACTCAACCTCCCAAATTTATTTTAGCTACTCATCTCAGCTGAAGGAATAGAAAATCCTATATTGGACTCTCTTGTAAAAAGGACAAGGGAGTATCCTTCTAAACCTCTCCTCATTTCAGAAATCTTACCACCCCTTTCAGATGATTTCTCAACCCCTTTGTCAAGGAAAAATTATTCAGACTTTAAAGAACACATTCGCTCCAGGATAGGGAGAGGAAACAAGTCTACCCAAGCCCTGTCTAATCACTTCCCTCATTTCGAACTGGTCAGTTGACCACAATTTCACTAGGATGAAAAGTGTGGGATTTCATCCCTCCCCAAGTGTGGGATTACAGGCATGAGCCACTGTGCCCGGCCAGATAATGATAATTAAACAGCATACTTATGACATTAGTCTTAATGGGATTTGACAAGCAGAAGTGGCTACTATTTGAAATTCTGCCTGTTAGGGGGGAAAATGAAGCATACTTCAATCTTAAGGACTTTCTCCAACATAAAGACACTTTTCACTCCCCGTCTTCAAGTACAAAGTCTCACATTAGTCAGAGCTAATGCTAGCCCTTGCTCAAATTGCAATGATTCATTTATACTGCAGTGCAAGTGCTGCAGTTTCACTTGGCTTTAAAATGTTGTGGAGTTTATTCTTCATCTTTCTTCCTTAGAAGGTGATGTAGGTCTCTGCCTGTTGAAGCCATGGCTTTGCTTGAAGGTCCTGGCACTGGGTAGCTCACATAAGCTCACCCCATCAGTAAACCTGTTGATGTTGAACAAGGAATGAGACCCTACTCTGTCTCTGCCTCCTTTCCCCACTTGCCTTCTCAACCCCGTGGCCTAACCACTCTGAGTTTTTTTTTATGATTCTGGGTCTCAGACATATCCCTTTTCCCTGGAGCCTTCTAGCACTCGGCTTACAGATCCATAGCCTTTCTCATAAGCCCTGTGTCTTTTCAACAATTCATAATTATTTTTGTGTGATTTTAGTCAATATACCATGTGGCTTAGTGGTCTCATCTCTAAAAGAGACAAAAGTAACTTCACTGAGGACAATATTCAAACAAATCAGTTATTCTGTGGGACCTACGGTAGTAGAATACTTTTTCCTAAACACTGAAATTGATATGCAGTGACCAAAATATCCTATTAATAACTTTGCATAGTTCACAATTATTGCTAACCTCAATTTTTAAAAACATATATTAAAAATATTTCTTTAAAAATTTTAAGTTTTATTTTAGTTCTTTCTGGATCAATGTATTCTAGTCTCCCTAGCTAAGGATCTAAAGATAGAAACTGGAATAATGAACATTCTAGTCTTCGATTATTGAAAATATTATGACTTACATAACAAGAATTTGTGTATGGAGTATTTAATAGCACAAATTCTTATATAGTAAAGAACAACAGAAGAATTGCATTTGTCCTTTTCTTCCTTAGAATGCAAGGCTTTAGAATCAAATTTCTGTTCTTTGCACTCAGAATTTTATTCACATTGAAACAGTATAGGAATATTAAATAATAGTGAATGTTAATGTCTCACTTAAGGTAACTATGTAGTTTTCCTTTCCTCCTCCTCAGATGAATCCAAGGCAGTGGAGCCATATCTCTGAAAGTGCCAAAGACCTAGTACGTCGCATGCTGATGCTGGATCCAGCTGAAAGGATTACTGTTTATGAAGCCCTGAATCACCCATGGCTTAAGGTACATGAGCATTCACAGGTCACCTTCTACACTTTGTCTGAACACTTCCAGTGACAGGAATGCATTGCTTTATAAGATGCTCCTTTTTACCTTTTCTTTTTTCTGAGCAGTTTTCATTAGTTTTTTCATCTTGTTTGCTGTTCCTGCACATCATCTGTGAATATCTGAATAAAAGACATACCATTTGAGTGTCATGCAGCTATCAGAGGTAAAAAACAGGATTAAGACAGAATACATCAGGGGAAGGCCTCTTTGTTCTCTGCCAACATGTGTTCCAAAGATATGCAACATCAACAACTGAAATAATACCATGTTATAATAAACCAATTATCTTTATTTTGGGTGTGACTGTGTGCTTTATAGCATTAACTGTTTTTCAGTAGATACTAGATATGAATTTACTGTCTTGGGAAAACGGCAGGTTTTTTTTTTTCTTTTTTTAGACAAGGTCTGACAACATCACCGAGGCTGGAGTACAGTGGCACCATCTCTACTCACTGCAACCTCTGCTCTTGGGCTCAAGCGATCCTCCCACTTTAACCTCCCTAGTAGCTGGGACCACAGGCATGCAGCACCACACCTGGCTAATTTTTGTATTTTTTGTAGAGATGGGGTTTCACCATGTTGCCCAGGCTTGTCTGAAACTCCTGGACTCAAGTGATCTGCCCGCCTCAGCCTCCCGAAGTGCTGGGATTACAAGCATGAACCACTGTGCCCAGCCAAAAGGCAGATTTTAAAAGTTCATTTTATGTCCCATCTTGCCAGTGAGTTTTAAGGAAAATTATAACTTGGGACAGCAATGAAACAGTACTTTTTGATTAAGACATTATACAGCCCAATAATTCCAGGCAGTTTTCACTTTAGAGGTTGGAAAACTAATGCTTGGAGAGGTTAAGAATTTGCACCAAGTTGGCCGGGCACGGTGGCTTATGCCTGTAATCCCAGCACTCTGGGAGGCCAAGGCGGGCGGATAACAAGGTCAGGAGTTTGAGACCAACCTGGCCAATATGGTGAAACCCCATCTCTACTAAAAATATAAAAATTAGCCGAGCGTGGTGGCGGACACCTGTAGCCCCAGCTACTCAGGAGGCTGAAGCAGGAGAATCACTTGAACCCGGGAGGTGGAGGTTGCAGTGAGCCAAGATCATGCCACTATACTTCAGCCTGGGTGACAGAGCGAGACTCTGTCTCCAAAAAAAAAAAAAGAGAGAGAGAGAATTTGCACCAAGTCACAGAAGTCAGTGGTGGAACCAGGATTCTAATTCAGCCTGCCACTACCCTTTCATCTGTCCACTAGATCCTATCCCTTTTTATTTGACCACATTGACCCAACAACTTCCCTTCCTACATCATCAGAGTTCTCTCTCTGTTGGATTTAACATGCTATAGTTTATTTGTATTATACACACACTTATATAGACATATACCTTCTCCTGACCCTACAACCCCCTCCAGCTTTTGCCCCTATTCTTTGCCTCCCTTGACAGCAATTCCTGAAAAGAGTTGTATAGACTACTCACATTGTCCAATTTCCCATTCCTTTCCCATGAACCCAGTCTAGTCAATATCACAATCTTACTTATTGCACTAAAACAGCTCTTGTCAAGTCACTACTGACCTTCATATTGCTAAGTCCAGTGTTCAAATCCCAGGGCTTGTTCTTGGCCTGTCAGCAACATTTGGCATCCATCCTTCTGAAACACTGTCTTCTCTGGGCTTCTGGGACACCTGCTCTCTTGGTTGTCCTTCTACCTCTCTGGCTGCTCCTTCTCAGATCCTGCTGATTCTTCCTCATCTCGCCTCTCCCACCTCTTCACACTGGAATGCCATAGGCCTCCATCCTTGCTCCTCCTCTTTTTCTCTATTGAAACTGAAAAAACTCAAACTACTCTCACACCACACAGCAACAATCAGTACAGAAGACTTCTGTGACCCGAGGTGTGGAGATTTCTCCCCACCAACAAGCAAGCAATCAACTCTGCAGCAGACGGCAGCTGGGTGTCCTCCCAACTAAATTCAAACACTATCTACCTGGAGATAGCATCAGATCGCACAGATTGAGGGCTCAGTCCCACAACCCTCACCTCTTCAGACACCAGTCATAAGTCCAGGCCGCTGAAACTTCTGCCATCCAACTACAAATTGGGGACACCACAGCCTCTTCCTCTTTGGGGTGGTTAATTTGCTGCAGCAGCTCACAGAACTCAGGGAAACATTTACTTATGTTTACCAGTTTGTTACAAGGGATATTACAAAGAATATAAATACAGAGATGCATAGGACAAGTTATAGGAGAGGAGGGGAGCAGAGCTCATACCCTGCCTCAGGCACAACACCTTCCAGGAACCTCCATGTGTACAGCTATTCAAAAGCTCCCCAAATCCTGTCCTTTTGGGGTTTTATGGAGGCTTTATTACTATAGGCATAATTGATTAAACCATCGGCCATTGGTGATAACTTAACCTTTGGTACCTCTCCCCTCCCCGGAGATTGAGGAATAGGGCTGAAAGTCCCAACCCTCTAATCCTGCCTGGGTCTTTGTGACCCCATCCTGAGGCTGCCTAGAGGCTGCCAGCCATCAGACATCTTTGGAGTTTCTAAGGATTTTAGGAGTTGTATGCCAGGAAATGAGCTAGAGTACCAAATATATATTTCACAGTATACCTCTGGTCTTCGAACCTGGACTCCTTACATTAAAAGAACATAGGCCAACATGGTGAAACCCCATCTCTACTAAAAATATATAAATTAGCTGGATGTGGTGGCGGGTGCCTGTAATCCCAGCTACTTGGGAGGCTGAGGCAGGAGAATCGCTCGAACCCAGGAGGCAGAGGTTGCAGTGAACCAAGATCACACCATTGCACTCCAGCCTGGGCTACAAAAGCGAAACTCTGTCTCAAACAAACAAACAAAAGAAATATAAAAGAATATATAACTCAAAAGACACTGCCACATTACTACAATCTCAGTCAAGCATTAATAATTAGTTCAGTCCCTCATCATAATGGATGAATAGGTCTCCCAGCATGAGGCCACTCAGGGTTGCAGGCTTTCCATTGATCTTGTCAGGTTCTAAAAGCAGGAATGGTCTTGGTTTCACCCTTTCAGAAACCTGATATAATTGAGCTAAGAGACAGTAACCTTTCTTGCTTTGAGTCTCTTTCAAGGTGTTAATGTAATGTAATAATGGATTTCCCTGAATTCATAACCTATTTATTTATTCCTTTACTCTCAGCTGTTAATTTTTTTTCCTCACTTTATTAATAACCTTTGGAAGAAACATTAGAATCAACACAGTGCTGGTCTAGATGGCAGGCAGCAATATTAGTCTAGTAATTACCTCCTCCTTAGTCCAGTCCCATGCAGGGAGACTAAGGTTACATAGGTGCCAATTTAGTGGACCGTTCTTACTACCAGGCAATGTAGCTGCATTCATGATTAACCCATTTTGCACAACTTACCCCCATCAGGTCCTTAGGAATTCTGACACGAGGTTTAAAAACATAGTTACAATTTCTTGTTTAGGAATCATCCCTGGTTCTAACACTGGTAGTTATGGCTCTGGTCCTAGAACCACTGCATAGGGAGGGGCGGGGGGAGTTTAGGTAATATGGAAAAGAAGGAAAGAAAAGAAGTATAGTCATTATATCAGCATATTCCCCTCTTGTCAAGAATTGCATAGTCATACCAGCATCCTCCACCACCCTCTCTTCCCCAGATTGATCAGAAAAACAAAAGAATATCTAGTGGGGACACTCCTTTAACCCCACTCATGTTGAGTGTGAGTACACACTGGTAAAGACAAGTAAGCCAGCCCTTCTTGCTTTCATCTCCCCCTGTTTTAGACAACCAATGTTTTCACTGCCCATTTTAGTCTCTATCAAACTATTACTCTGAGAAGAATATCTCTGCCCACTGCCAGAACATTATGGGCTGTACTGTGTGTTCTTTGGCCTGAAGAAATGGTGTTCAGCTCTCCAAATCTGTGCAATATCTTCTGTCCTGGCTTTTTTATGGCATTCTCATAATTCACATCTTCCACTGGGCAAGCAAAGCCCAGTCCAGAATCAGTGTCCACTCCTGTCAAAACCGATTTGTGGCCTCCCAGGGCTGCCAGCATCAACCTCACTTGCCAACTTGTTCCGGGCTTTCCCATCAGGAAATCTGCCCCACAGCCATGGGCAGTGTCTGTCTCTTTTGCTGGAAGACAGAACAGTTCTTACTGGCATTTTGTGCCTGAGATGGTGCAAAAGAAACCTGTCTAGATGCAGGCCATCTCTGCACTGTTGCAGTACCCATTTATCCACTCATTTCATGGACCCAGGTGGCCACTTCAAGGGAGCACACAGGGTTCTCTGCTTGTCAGTGTCAATCAATGTCAATCCAAACCCAGAAAGAGGCTCTTCTGATGGGCATCAACATATTCTACTTATTGCACCCCTCAAATTTCCACATAGCCATTCTCCATATGGGTATCCCTTTAATAAATAGACCAGGTTTCCACTGCCCTTCTGCTTGACCTTGTGACCAGGCCACTGGTGACTGTCCATGAGTCAGCAAAAAACCAAACATGGGAGCTTTTGCTATTGTACATTTCTTCAGAATGCAATTCAGCCGCCAAGCTAATTTGATCTTACCTTCTTTGATCAAGAGTGGCATCCTTCCAAACAGGATGTTCACCTTGGAACTGTCATCCACACACCAGGCAGCTCTTTGCTGGTCAGTTGAGAGCTGTTTACGGGGCACTGTCCAAGGGTCAGTAGAATCCCACAGTTCCTCACACAGTTCCAGAGTCAGTCCTAGGGAAAAAGAGGCTCCCTGCTTGAGAGTATTTCCTCCTTGCACTTCCCAGGGAGGATGCTCCTGTATAAACCATTTCCATTTTATTATGGAACTATTCTGGGCACTGCCATCCCCATTTGAATGTTTCTCTGACATCATGTGAGAAAGCATGGGTATTTCAGCTGTCAAGATCATTTTATGTCCTTCAGTCATAGGGGTAGTTTCAGTTAATGTCCCATAGCAAGGTAGTAAATGCCCCCAAGTGGAAATTCTCTAGTGCAAACTCCCAGCAGTTGTCACTGGGAGATGCTCACAGACTTTGGCCATAAGCCCCAGTAAACACCCTGCAAAGGGTGAGCAGATGGAGAATTTGTCCCTACTAGCACTCCAGCTTCTCTACTCCACACTGTGTGAGCGCAAGCAATCTTACTGGTGCCTAGTTAGCATGTCCAATTAATATTTGCTTGAAGTGCAGATTTATATTTCTTCTGTTTTACAATACTGAGTAGGGGAAGTGTTCCCCACCCAGTCATAGTTATCCAGTTCCATAAAATATTTAGGTAAAGGAGACATAACTTATTTATGTATATCCCATTTAAACATTCCAAATCTCATACTCCTATCAACCCTTACTTTTACCCTTTTCTTTTTTAAAAAAAAAAAAAAAAAAAAAAAAGCATTGAGTCCCCAACAGCGGGTTGAGCCGAGGGACCTTGCTCCTTTTGTCAATCTTTGTCTTGATTAACCTGCCTCAGCATTACCCCAAGTAATTGTTGGTCAGCTTTCTCACTGTAATCTCTGCCTTCTGACTTTTTCAATTTCTCCAAACTGGGGTGAATACAGCAAACCTGTTTGGAACCCCTTAACATTGGGAGAACAGCAGAGGCTCCCTACCAACCTTTGATAGTATTATATTGAGATCTTTGTTTTAACCCCATCGATTTCCACTTTATTCATCCCATTTCTTTTTATTTATTTATTTATTTATTTATTTTATTTTTTTGAGACAAGAGTCTTGCCCTGTCACCCAGGCTGGAGTACAGTGGCGCAATCTCAGCTCACTGCAACCTCCGCCTCCCAGGTTCAAGCAATTCTCCTGCCTCAGCTTCCCGAGTAGCTGGGATTACAGGTGCCCACCCTCATGCCCGGCTAATTTTTTTGTATTTTCAGTAGAGATGGGGTTCCACTATGTTTGCCAGGATGGTCTCAAATTCCTGACCTTAGGTGATCCACCCGTCTCGGCCTCCCAAAGTGCTGGGATTACAGGTGTGAGCCACTGCATCCGGCCCTATTCTTCCCATTTCTTAATAGCCCTCTAAAGATTCCACCCTGCTGGGATGAGTCCCATGATTCTCCTCTTTCTTTTTTCTCTTAGTTTCACCCAATCAATGTTTTCTTCATTCACCTTATTTCTTAATAACCATTTAAACTTTCCACCTTCCTGGGATGAGTCCTGTGACTCTCCCCTCTGCCTTTCCCCGGTCTTTTGTTAATTACAGTCATGTTTTCATTGGTGCCCATACAAAAGAGGCTCCCTTAGCCATAGCATTTACTACAACCAGAGCAATGGATGTATTCAGTGAGTAAATATCCCAGTCATCATAAAGCCAGTCCTGCATGGCCTGCATAGGAACCAAATGAGCTGCTTCACCTGGGGTTCTCCATTTGGTATTTATAGGTAGAGTTGGACAGTCTCTACCTTCTCAGGGTGTACAGACCTTACAGTGGCTTTTATTCCATTCACTAGGCTGACTGTTCCCTCTGGAATAACTTCCTATGTGTATGGATCACATTATACCCATTGTGATTGTTCAATAGTGAGCTGTGGGTCCTGCATCAACCCAAACATGCCTGTCCACTCTGCGGCATTTAAAACCAAAGAAAGTGCCCTAAATGAGTTACTCTCACAATCCATTTTAATAAAGGATTTTCAGTAAACTGATTATACCAATCTATGAAATGAGACAATTTCTTCACACTGTACCCTCTGGTTTCAATAGTTTCTTGGTTTTGCCCTTCTCTCACATGAACTACCATCATGGTAACCACAGGTAGTAGAGGTACTGTCATCCCTGTATCATTTTTCCTTTGGGGGTCAGCTTGGAGACTAGTGGCCTGGGCTCAGACAGACTGAAAGCTGAGCTTAGTCTAGCATCAAGGCCTCATCCAGAATTTGTTTTATTTCCGTTCAGCTATTACAGACAACCACCACCAAGGGATTGAATACTTCACCTTTTTCTTTCTGGTTTGCATATCCTTATACATCCAGTGAACCAACTCCCTGAGTTGGATCCATCTCTAAATTCCACTGGTAACTTTTACCTTTAGTAATTGATTGCAGCACAGTTGCAGCTCCAAACCATGGAAGATCACGTCGTCTACCCAGGAGTCAAAGGTTCCTCATCTCCCACCCTTTCATTCTTTCTCTTCCCAAACCACATATTTCTGTGAGCCAGGGCTGTTCTAGCAAACCCTACTTCACTGACACTAACTGAAGGTGGAAAAACTCAGAACTGTTTTCCTCTGTTCTCGCACCACACAGCAACAACAATCAACACGCAAGACTTCTTTCACCAAATGTGTGGGAATTTCTCCCCATTAAGAAGCAAGTAATCAGCCCTGCTGCTGGGTATTCCCTAATTCAATTCTGACACTATAGTATCACATCCCACAGGTTGAGGGCTTGGTCCCCAGGGCCTCCCCTTCCCGCCCTTTCAGACACCAGTCACAAGTCCAGGCCTCCAGAACGTCAGACTGACTGGCTACAAATCAGAGATCCTACACCTGCTCTTTGAGTTCCATTAATTTGTTAGATCAGCTCACAGAAGTCAGGGAAACACTTTTACCATTGTGTTATAAAGAAAATTACAAAGGATACAGATGAAGAGATGCATTGATGGAGGTGTAGGGGCGAAGTGGGAAGCTTCCATGCCCTCTGTGGATGCACTGCCCTCCAAGAACCTCCATGTGTGCAGCTATCCGGAAACTCCCTGAACCCTGTCCTTTTGGGTTTCTACGGAGGCTTCATTACCATTGGCCATTGGTGGTCAACTCAACCTTCAGCCCCTCTCCCCTCCCTGGAGGTTGGGGGTGGGGCCAAAAGTCCCAACTCTCTCATCCCTCCTTGGTCTTTCCTGTGACCAGCCCTTATCCTGCAACTGCCTAGGGGCTGCCAGCCATCAGTTAATTATTAGCATACAAAAAGATAGCCCTTACACCATTCTAAGGATTTTAGGAATTGCATTCCAGGAAACGGGAGTTGTAGACCAAATATATATTTCACAATATCACATCCATCTACACTCCCTGCCCTTGGAGAGCTCATCTAGTTTTGATGGCTTTAAATGCTATCTGTACAACAATGACTCCTGAATCCAGGCCTCTCCCTCTAGGTATTCTTTCTTAATTCTCTATACAGTTTGGCTTCCTGACACTTGACTCATTTCACCCCTTCCTACTCTCCCTTCTTACTCCATTGCCATCATACCGGCCTCCTTGCTGTTCTTCAGACTGCAGGCACATTTCACCTCAGCACCTTTGCATGACCCTTCCCTAGAATACTCTTCCCTCAGATATCATGGCTTGTTCCCTCACCATCTTCAGGTCTTAGCTTAGGTATCAGCTTCTTAGTAAGACCTTCCCTGACCACCCTATTTAAAATGTAGGGGAAGGAATGCCACCAGTATTCCCTGTCCCCCTTCTCCTGCCTTATTTTTCTCTATAGCATCTGTCACCCTAAGACATACCCATATGTTACTTATATGTTTATTGTCTGTCTAACTCATAAAATATAAGCTGCGTAAGTGTAGGGATTTTTGGCTCTTAGTTCACTTCTGTCTAGCACCTAGAATGTATCTGGCATGCAGTAGGTGCTCAATGAATATTAGTGATTTATCAATGAATGAATGTTCATTTTATTATACCATGCTACTTCCTCATATTATGCAAAACAATAAAATATTTTAAAAGTAGACTAATAATGTATTTTAAGGCAATGACATGGAATAGTATTACAGGACAATTTTGAGATTTCAGTGGATCTTGATTCTCCTTAAGAATATTACTTCTCAGCCTGGGAAACATAGGGAAATCCCGTCTCTACAAAAATAAAAATAAAAAATTAACCAAGCTTGGTGGTGTGCACCTGTAGTCCCAGCGACTCAGGAGCCTGAGGTAGGAGGATTGCTACTTCTAAAATATGCATTCACCCCTCTGATACTCAGTGCTAGTTATTCCTGATTTCCCCCGGAAAAGAGTAGTGAATAATTTTTAGATACTTTCTTTGTTTTGTTTTGTTTTTTGTTTGTTTGTTTTGCCCTCCCAGATACATAATGAACAGTTTAGAGATAATTCCTATTTCTCCTTTACTTTTCTCACTTTCTCCATAACCGGGATCTTTTGTTCATTCAAAGCTAGTTTAAATGCCAAATAACAATGAAAATGGCAGCCATTTTAGTCATTTTTCAAATCTTTTGGAAGATAGTTTTAACATTATACAGTACCTACTTACAGTGACTTTCAAAGCTTATCTTGGCTAATAGCATATTTATTTTGTTCCTACCAATGATTATAGTTCTTGTTCTAAGTAATTTGAGCTTGATGCATAATAAATTTCTAGCGTGAAAAAGACAAAAAAAGTCAGTAAACTTAAATGAAAAAGTTTAAGACGGCTCTTTGAGCTGAGTATCACATGCCATGTCTAAACAACAGTTTAACTTCACTACTTATGTCATCTGAAGATGAAAAACTCAATTAGAATGTTATCCAGCTGGTATGAGCAGGCTTATGTTATATTTCAGTATCTGTCCATGTGTATTTGTAAATCATTACTGTGGATGTAAGAGGGATTTTTTTAGAATGGTTGAAATTTAAATATGAAAAACTCCTAGATAACTTGCAAGTTGAAGAAATAAAATGATACTGGTTGCAGTGGCTTGAGCCTGTAGTCCCAGCTACTTGGGAGGCTGAGTAATTACTGAGTAATTACTCTAAGTAATTAGAGTAAGGTGGGAGGATT